ATTACCGATGTCGGTGTATAAAGCATGACATACACCTATAGCATTAGAAATAATACCGTATAGAATACCTACATATTTATGGGATGGTTTCCCTTAGAAATCACATTCCAATCACGTAAGGAATAAAGAACTACTTTGAAAATACTGTAGGAGACATACTCGAACTCGACTAGGATTAAATTAGAGACTACCAAGAATATCTCTATGCAAGGTCTCCTAGAATACAATGAGTCCTATGGGTAGTACACGACTCCAAGAGAGGGCTAAAATTAAGAGGAGAAAGGGGAACAACGAAACGAAAGATAAGCAACTGAAAAAAAAAAACTAAACGAGCCCTAATAATATCTGCGAACAGCATGAGGAGTTCAACCTCCGGCGGACATCTGACCACCATCTCGTCGAAATCCTCGACAATAATAGAAGATAGACCTAGGATATACACATAAACCACCCCCCCCCCCTCCCTCCTTACTCATATGTTCCATATATCAACAGAATCTGGCCATCATTCACTACTAGTAGTTATGGTCTTTCCTGAAGTGGCACTTTTGGCAAGAACCGGCGGGATTCCATCACAAATCATGTTCTGTAACGATCTTGTGATAAAAAAAAACATCGTCGTAGAACTGTGGAAGCTCCGTACCTATTGTGACAAAAAAAACGAGTCGTCCGATACAGATGTTCATGATAACAGGCATCGTCATAACATTTGTGACGATCCAAATTGTCATGAACCAGTTGATGCCACGCCGCCGCATGGACAACATAATGGCATGGACCCTCCGTGGCTGGACGTTGTGACGTGGCAGGTGCTACGTGGTAAGTTGACCCATATTTAAGGGACCTACAATGGACTTCTCCTAATATGAAGGAATAAGTTCACTTTGATTCACTTTAATCTGTGATCCTGAACCGCAAAACCAGATATCTTCACCCTAAACTATTAAAACCGGTGCAATTTAACTTCCTCGATGGTTTTGGAGAGCGGTTTCGCTGACGTGGCATCCACGTGGTAGCGTTGACCTGGTCTGCCGTTGACATGGTGCATAGGTGGCATTAGAATTGAAGACATACACGTAGGACCCCTTCGTCATTCACACAAGAAAAATAAAAGGGGCACACTGACATGTGGGGCCCACATGTCAATCTATCCCTTCTTCCTCCTCCCTCTCTCCCCCTTATCTCTCTCTCTTTCTCTCTCTCCCTTCGGCCAGCAGGGCCAGTGACAGCGGCGGGCGGGGGCCGGAGTGGCGGCGGAGGGCGAGAGGGCGGAGGCGACATGGGACCTACCGTTTGGCCGGCCTCACGCGCGCGAGGCTGGCACCTTCGCCTCCAATGACCAACAACGAGCCCACCTGCTACGTACGCCGCCGCCTTATCATCCTCCTCCAGTTGGCTCCTCCCCTCCTGTGAGCCACCGGCAACGCTGCCCTAGATGTGAGCCGCCGATGCTGCCATTTTCGATTGGGGTGGGGCAGGGTTGAGGATCGGGGGAAGAGATGGAGGGATGGTGAGAGAGAGAGGCGCCAGCGGTACGGAGCTCGGCGAGGGAGCTCTAGGGCGCAGGGCTGGCTATGATGGGGACCACGGTGACGTGGGCAGGCTGGTGCACCTGTTGCTCCCAAGGCTGCGGCGTCGGTGTTGACCTCTCTGCCGACGTCGCCGTCTCCGACTCCTGTCCCATCGACCGAAGTGGGGCGGAGCGGCGGGCGAGGAGGATGCCGCCCCCTGCTCCGGGCTCTCCTTCCTCCTCATAACTCACCAACCATGAAGCTCGTCGCCTGTAGTCTCCTCAGTGCCGCTCCCTGTCGTCATCCCGCTGGCGCCGCAGTAGGATGGCGCGGCTTTGCCTCAATTGTCCCCTTGCCGTGAGCACCAACGCCGAGTCCACGGCTGCCTTCACCGCCCGCGGCTGCAACGGCGCGCCCCTGTCGAGGAGAGAGGGAGAGAGAAAAGGGGGAGAGAGGGAGGAAGAAGGGGTCAAAGAGAGATGCTGACATGTGGGTCCCACAATATTTCTTTTGGCGAATAACAAATGGGTCCTGCATTTTTTTTAATTCTAATGCCATACAAACGCCACGTCAACACCACGTCGGACGGAGACTAAGTCAACACCGCCATGTCAGCGAAACCGCCCTCCAAACCACCCGGGGAGTCAAAATTGCACCGGTTTTAATAGTTTAGGGGTCAAGATTTCTGGTTTTACGGTTCAGGGTTACGGATTAGATTCGGGTCACTTTAAGGGAGTTAAAGTGAACTTATTTCTAATATAAACGATCATGAAAGATATGCATCTATTGGGCTGATCCAATCAGTGTGCAGCCCATTAGGATATATCTCCTCTCATTATCGGTCCAATTGAATCCTCAGCACCCAGCCCCACGCTCCCCACCCTCCAGTCTATCAGGCCAACTAGCTCAACGGGGATTGCCTGTACCTTTATTGTGTAATTATAGTACAATCACAATACAATTAGATTGTAATTTTTATGTAATTACAATGTAAATGTATCTTCAACTTTAAAAAATTTTCTCCAAAACATGTTATTTCTATGAAATGAAGGTTGTGGGGACTGAGGTGTGTTTGGTTGAGCTGTGGCTTTTGAAAAAATAGCTGTGGGCTGTGGCTTTTCGAAAAGTAGCTGTGGAATATTGGTGTGGCTTTTGGAAAAGCTCGTTTGGTTCAACAGTTGTGACTTTTGAAATAACTAGTCCCACTTACAAGCGGGCTCCACATGTCATACACCCATTGGAAAAGAGGGGAAAATGAAGGAAAAAAAAGAGGAAAGAAAAAACACAAACGTGCGCGGCGTCGGCCTTAGCGGCGGTGGCGGCGACAGACACGCGCGGCGGCGAAGGAGACCTCAGCGGCGGTGGCGGCGGTCGCGGAGGAGGCCTCGGCGGCGGCAGACGCGCGTGGCGGCGGAGGAGGCCTCGACGGTGTCGGCGGCGGAATCGAACGCGCAGGAGGCAGACGCGGGAGTCGACCTCGGCGGCGTCGGAGCTGGCCTCGACGGCGGCGGCGGGGAGGCAGAACGTGCAACGGCGGCGGAGGGGAGGTAGACGCAGGCGGCGGCGGAGTCGGCCTCAACGGTGATGGAGTCGGCCTCGACGGCAAGGAGGAGCGGCGGCGCCGGGGGGGGAGGAGGAGCGGCGGCGACGGCGAAGGTGAAGTGAGGAGGAGGGACGCACGGGGGGAAGGATGGGAGAAAAAAGAAAGAAGAAGTGAAGCGTTTTTTGTGTAATGGCCGAGGTGGCTAATTTTTCCCCCAAAAGCAGATGAATGAGGGAGTAGAGGTGCTTTTGATTTGTACTATACCAAAAGCTGACTTTGGGCAAAAGTAGCTGTGACTTTTGGACCATTTGGTTGGCTTTTGGCTTTTACAAAAGCAAAAGCAAGTTGAAAAGCCCAACCGAACACACCCTGAATCCTCTCACATATGTGTGTGCTGTGATTTTTTTCCTTCCTCACTTACATGAATCTTGAAACAAATCTAATAGTTTAAAATTATATGAAAGTTACGTGTAGGTTATATTACGGTTATATGCAAGTTCCAATGTAATTATATTACGATTATACTATAATTTCATTTGTTAAATTTTTAGAAAAACACTTATCAACAAATATATAACAAAATTGGCTTAGCGTGCACCGAGGAAGCGCATGAGAGATGGAGAGAGGCACGACGGGCGCGATCGGCAGCGTGAGCGCGCTGGGATGCCATACCGTTCTGAAATTTGAAGGAATAAAAACACTATTTGTAATTCAGTTCTGCTAAGGTATATGATGATGTTTGAGCCTCATCGTTTGCCTTATAGCATATAAAGTTATAAGCCAATGCTAAAATTTGAATTTTAATATTTGATTTTGATGTTTTTTCAAAGATTTTCTTTTTTAGCTTTAGCTTTTAAGTCGCTATGTCGAGGAGTGATCCTCTCTAGCGGGAGATCGTGAGATCCCCTTTTGTGAGTTCGGCCGGGGGAAAAGGCTCGCTTGTCGAGATCGTGTATCCGCCCTGAGGGTTTCTAGATCGCGTACGGGCGCCAAGATTATACAGGTTCGGGCCGTTGTGGAGCGTAATACCCTACTCCTGTGTGTGGGATTTATGGTTGAGTGTTACAAAGGTTCCTAAACTCCGGAGAGTACTCTCGCTCTTCTCCTCCTAGAGTTCAGGCCTACTGAGCGTCGTCCCTTTTCTCGGTGGGCAAGGTCCTCCTTTTATAGTTCAAGGGGATACCACATGCACCGCTTCTACCTACTCTTTCACGGGAGGGGGATCCACTTTACCTTGACCGGACCACGATCCGTGTCTTCGCCCGGAAGCTAAGCGGCAGTCCGTCCTTGAGTGGGACACAGCGCCGCCCCCCACCTGACACGGGGGACAGCCGTGTCATTCCGTCTTAAATGGATGAAGACTTGTGGCGGTCCTTCTCACGTGGAGGGAGCTCCGGATGATACTTCGATGGGACGGGGCATACCTGCCTCCACTCCGCTGGGTACAGGGGCGAGTGTGGGGGCACGGCCGCCCGTCCGATCGGACGTGACCGGCGACAGGCCAGTCACAGTTTGGTCACGCCTGATTGACGTGAGTCAAACGGGCCCCACCGCACGTCCGCCCTTACCGCATTAAATGCGGTGAGGGACAGTTGGGGCGGCGCGCATTGATGGTGGTTCAGTCTGAGTCTCCTCCCCGCTCGCTCCCCTCGCCACATGGCAGTTGAGCGAGGGCCTCAGGGCGAGGCAGCGCGAGGGCCCGAGGGGTGTGACGTGGCACCCGAGGCTCCCTGGCTGCCTCTGGGTCTTCCGAGGCGCGGGGGGAGGGCCAAGCTGTAGGGCCACGTGGCTGGATCAGGAGGTAACTCCCCCGCACTTCGCATACCCCGAGCCATATCACCGACACGCTAAGTACACATATATAAAAGTTTTACTCATAAATCTTTTTTATCACTAATAAGCCGTAATGGTTTTTAATCAGCCGTATGCAACCGATGGGACCTTTGTTTCAAAGAATTCTGGGAGTGCTTTTCTTTTTTTTTTCTTTTTTTTTTCAGTCAACTGATTGCTTAATATTTGGGGAGGAGCTCAATACTGACTATAGTACTTCTACTGAGTATACTCGATTTGAAGTCTTAACTACAATTTTTCGGAATTTCATAATCCTTAAATTTGAAATTCAAGTGCTGAATTAAACTCACAGCTGACTGCTGCTCTAAGCTGAACTATGCTAACGGTTAGCCTGGTGATGATCATGACCGGTAAGCGGGGTGTTCGTCCTCGTCATCGAACGCCGTGAGAGCCTTGGCGATGTCGTCCATGGTCGGCCTGCTGTTCCTGTCCTCCATACACGCCAGAGAAATCCTCACCATCTCCATGGCCTGACGAGGGTTGAACTGCCCCTGCAGCCTGGCATCAACTAGAGACCTCACATCGCCACTGTCCAGCACATGCCTCAGCGCCTGCGCGATCTGCGGCAGCTGCAGCCGCTCGCCGGCTTCCGTCCTCTGGTCCGCCACCCGGCTCCCGACCACGATCTCCAGCAGCACAATGCCGAAGCTGTACACGTCCACCTTGGCGTTGATGGGCACGTTCAGCGCCCACTCCGGCGCCATGTACCCCGACGTCCCCCTCATGTGGGTGAGCTCCACGCCGGCGCCGCCGTCCCGCTTCGACAGCTTGGCCAGCCCGAAGTCGGCGATCTTGGCGTCGAAGTCCCTCGTCAGGAGGATGTTCTCCGGCTTCATGTCGCAGTGGATGACCCACTCGAGGCACTCGTGGTGGAGGTAGGCGAGGCCCCTCGCCGTGCCCAGCGCGATCTTGTACCGATCTTTCCACGCCAGCGTCGTCGTCGACATGCCGCCGCCGCCTTCGGCCGTGTCGAACAGGTGCCGGTCCAGCGACTGGTTCTCCACGTACTCGTACACCAGCAGCTTGTGCTTGCGCTCGGAGCAGAATCCCCAAATCCTCACAAGGTTCATATGGTTGATCCGCCCGAGCACCGTCATCTCGGCCCAGAACTCCTCGTCCCCCTGCATCGTCACGTCGACCGCCAGCCTCTTCACGGCCACCACCTTACCGCCGTCGAGCACGCCGCGGTACACCACGCCGGAGCCGCCGCGGCCGAGCTCCTCCTTGAAGTTGGCCGTCACGTCCTTGAGCTCCCGGTACGTGAACCGCCTGAACTGGCTCGTCATCACCCTCCTGTACCCTGCCTCCAGCGAGCTGGGGATGCTCTGCTTGCTGGACAGGAACCACCACCCTGTCGCGATGAAGAGGAGGTCCAGGACACCGAGCACACCGGCGAACACAAACAGGTAGGTCCACTTCCCGCTGTTTCTTGGAGCCATCCCGTACACGGCAGCGGGCACTGTCACGATGGAGACGTTGGGATTGCACGTGAGGCCGGCGGCGCTCCGCGCGCTGACCAATGGCGACGATTCGTCGAAGTCGATGGACACCTTGAGGTAGATGTTCCCCGGGAAATTCGCCGACGTGTAGCCGTTGAAAAGCCTGCCTTTCGTGAAGCATCTGCCGACGCCGTCGAACCTGTAGGAGAAGGCGACGCACTGGCAATCGCTCAGGCACTGGTTCCTGCATAGCTCGAATGTTATCGAGGACCCGTTGAACATCAGGTCGTAGCCGTAGAAATCGGTTTGGGGCACCACCACAGACTTGAACCGCTCAGGCGCCGCCGGCTGGCTGCAGTTGCCGACGGAGAACATCGGCTGGCAGCCTTTCCTCCAGTCCCGGCGGTCGATCATCTCGTACCCTGGCGGGCACGAGCACCGGAGGCTCGGCAGGTACACGCAGAGGCCGTTCTTGCCGCACAGCCCGTGAGCTTGGCACGGCTGGCTGAGCGCCGCCCATGTCACCGCCCAACCTCCGGTGGACGCGTTCAGGCTGTATATTCTCAGGTTGCCGTCCTGCTCGATGGTGAGCCGCCTCTTGACGCCGACGCCCATGTCGGAGGCCTGGGCTTGCAGCCTGTCGGAGGAGCGGAAGACGCCGGCGTCGTCGAGGATGGCGATCCTCGAGCTGTTGTAGTTTGTCCGGCCGAAGTCGAAAATGCTCACCCCCGGCAACGGCCAGTAGATGCTGGCGATCTCCGGGCCATCGTAGAGCATGCGCAGCACGTTGTCGTTGTCGTAGTAGAGGCTGAAGTAGCCGGCGACGAGCTTGGTGTCCTTGGTGAACCGCTGCGACGGGAGCAGCGTGTCCGTCGGCCAGTCGAAGCTCTGCCACACGGCGCGGCCGGTCGACGGGTCCTCGATGACGAGGTTCCCGGTGTCGCGGAGGGAGACGGTCAGGCCCCGCCCGCCGCCGCCCGTCCGGCTCGCCCACACCGTGGTCCCGTTGGTGTCGGCGAGGGCCAGCTCGCCGTCGTGGCGGAACGAGATCGTCGAGCCCCTGCCGTTCACGGGGGCGTCGGGGTTGGCCGTCCAGACGACGGCGCCGTCCCTGGCGGCGGTGAACCATACGGAGAAGGAGAAGGCGTTGTCGCCGTCGTCGCCGGCCTGAATGAAGCCGCAGGAGAAGGTGCCGTCCGGCGACACCAGGAACGGCCGCGACCGGTCCGCCACCGACAGGGAGGAGCCGGTGCCGAGCGTGTGCTGCGCCGTCGACGCGGACGAGCACAGCAGCAGAGACGCCAGCGAGAGCTGCACGGCCAGGCAGCCGATGACCAATCCAGCCATCGTTTCAGCTCGCTGTTTGGTTCATTGGTTGAACTACGGTCTACAAAGGCAAAGAAAATTATGGGACAAAGTGTATAAAAGATGATCAAGCAACCAACGTTCAACGCAATCATTATGCAAATCAAAGTACGGGTAGTATTCTTGATTTGGACATACGCAGCCGTAAGCGACAGGATAATGGCGCTTTGTCTGACAATCACTTTGATATTTCATCAGTTTACGATTGTCATTATTGCTGGTCTTCAGTCCTCAACTAGTCGTGGCCGTCACTAGTGCTATGCCGATTTGATATGACCGTTTTCGTTCGTGAAGGGAAATTCCTCTTGAGTAATAATCACAAAAGGAACATTTGTCCATTGGCAAGACCCAGAGCACACGCTGGTTTTGATTTCACTTTTAGCTGGGTACTTCCTGTGTACATGATCGATTTCGTCTACGAGTCTTGAGTTGGACTCGAATCAATTGGTTGGCAAATCGCATATATGCATGATAAAGCTCTTAAAATATGGTGGCTAGCTGTATGTGGGTTGGCCGAGACTAGCAAATTAGCCGGACAAAACTACTCCTCAATTAAGCATGGAAGTTGTATTCCTTCAAAAAAAAAAAAGCATGGAAGTTGGCACGTTCGATAGAGTTTAGATAATCATATCGCACATGAGAAATTGATGACGCTCGAGGGTTCTGACTGTCACTTGCTTGCAATTATTTGGTACAGCAAGGGGGTCCTGCAACGCATGCGTACGTAGACTATGAATTAGATGGATGCGTTGAATCGCCTTTCTGATAACCACTTGCTTTTTTTATTATTACTTTAAAATAAACTGTTTTGATATCTTCTGTCCGATAGTGACAGCAAGAGTCCGTGGTAGTGGATTTCCAAAGTACATAAGGATCGATAAGTCATACTTTCGATTTTAGATGATAAGACACATAATCAAATACTACGAATCTGTCTACATTTTAGTACTACGAATTTAAACAGACTAACACCTTCAATCTTACTCTCTCCGTCAAATTTAAAACCGATATAATATTGGATGTGACACATCTTAGTAATACAAATCTGGACATATCTTTGTCCAGATACATTGTATTATAATGTAATATGTCATATCCAGTTCTAAATTCATCTTTCTTTGGACGAAGGGAGTATGATTTTGAAAACACGACAACATTGTAGAAATGGTGTAGGATCGTAAAGGGCCTTTCCCACCCCAAAAGCTAGACATTGAGGTGAGGGGCTCCCCCACTTATATCTTAGGTCATTTGCCCTTCCACAACTAATGTGGGACTATTCAACAATCTCCCCCTTCACACATTGGTGTCCCTCAGCCCTTCACCGCCCCTTCACCGTGTATAGACCCCACCGGCCCACGGTCCATCAGGTATACGGGCCCCGCAGGTACCCACGGTCCATCAGGCCTTCACACGTGTCCATCGGGCCAGAGATGTTAACCTAGCCAGGCTCTGATACCAATTGTAGGATCGTAAAGGGCCTTTCCCACCCCAAAAGCTCCATTGAGGTGAGGGGCTCCCCCACTTATATTTTAGGTCATTTGCCCTTCCACAACCAATGTGGGACTATTTAACAAATGTGTTTGGATGGAGAGAAAAAAGTAGGAATCAAAATAAAGATAGATGCAAAGGATTTTTTTTTCAAGAGGTTGAAACTCACGTCAAAATTCCTACAAAATTTCTCTGTTTTGAGCTAATTCAAAGAAATTTCATAGGATTTTTGGATAGCTATTTCTTTAATCCAAATGATCAAACAAAAAGTTTCTATAAGAATAAATTCCTCTATAATTTGTTTAAAAATCTGTTGTTCTAAGGAGCCTTAAAATAGAGTTGCGTGATGATAGAACGTACGGTTTTGGTCCACAGAAGACGTCAGAGTACATCTAAAATCGTGCGAGGGAGTATCGAGCCAAACTCGAGCTGCATTAGGGGCGAAGTGAATTGCTCTCTTTGTTTTAATCAATAAACGACTTTTGCTAGCAGTATTTATCAATCACCAAATATTTTTATATCAGTTTTGTTAAAACATAAAAAAGAAGAAAATGAATTAAAGTGAAAGTATAAACTAAAAGTGGGTCTAATACGAAACATCGATGTGAAAATCGGATGCGTGCAACGCATGCGTGCGTAGACTAGATGGATGCGTTGAATCGCCTTTCTGATAACCACTTGCTGAAATAAACTGTTTTGATATCTTCTGTCCGATAGTGACAGCAAGAGTCCGTGGTAGTGGATTTCCAAAATACATAGTAATACATAAGGATCGATGTGTCATACTTTCGATTTTAGATGATAAGGCACACGTTCTAATACTATGAATTTGTCTACATTACGAATCTAGACAGGCTAATACTTTACATTTTATTCCCTTAGTCCCATAAAAAATTAATCTAGTATTGAATATAATGTATCTTATTACCACGAATCTGGACATATCTCTCTCCAAATTCATTGTAATATAATATGTCACATCCAGTCCTAGATTTTCTTTTTTTAACGAAGGGAGTATGATTTTGAAAAACATGAGAAAACTGTAGAAATGGTTGTTTGGATGAAGAGAAAAGGTAGGAATCAAAATAAAGACAGATGCAAAGGATTTTTTTTCGAGAGGTTGAAGCCCATGTCAGAATTCCTACAAAAATTCTATGTTTTGAGCCAATTCAAAGAAATTTCATAGGATTTTTGGATAGCTATTTCTTTAATCCAAATGATCAAACAAAAAGTTTCTATAAGAATAAATTCCTCTAAAATTTGTTTAAAAATCTGTTGTTCTAAGGAGCCTTAAAATAGAGTTGCGTGAAGATAGAACGCATGGTTTTGGTCCACAAAAGACGTCAGAGTACATCTAAAATCGTGCGAGGGAGTATCGAGCCAAACTCGAGCTACATTAGGGGCGAAGTGAATTGCTCTCTTTGTTTTAATCAATAAACCACTTTTGCTAGTAGTATTTATCAATCACCAAATATTTTTATATCAGTTTTGTTAAAACATAAAAAAGAAGAAAATGAATTAAAGTGAAAGTATAAACTAAAAGTGGGTCTAATACGAAACATCGATGTGAAAATTGGGTTCAAAATGGAAAAACAATTCTGCCCCAATCAGGGTGTTCAGGATTGGTGGGAAATGATAGCCAACAAGAAGGAAGTGCCCAAAAAAGACCTGCGGTCGGAAGGAGCGTAACAGGAGAATCTTTGAACACAAAGAGATGACGGCCCCAAGCCTAATGGCAAAAATAAAAGAAGAGGCACGAGCTTGGACAATGGCCAGTGCAAAGATTAATTTCGCCTTGTACAGTTTCTTTTTTCTCCTTTCACCCATAGGGGTAGTACTTTTTTACCTCTCTATTCAATGATATAGCACAGTCTGTGCTGATTCCTTTCAAAAAAAAAAAAAACAATTCTGCCTCTTAAGAGAATATCTCCTCATTATTTGCAATCATTTGGACAGTAAAAAGAATCTTAGGAAATATCACAGCATAGATCTTTGTGGTATATACTCCCTCCGTCCCAAAAAAGGCAAACCCTAGGTTTCCGTGTCCAACGTTTGACCGTTCGTCTTATTTGAAAAGTATAAAAAAAATTAAAAAGATAAGTTACACATAAATTATTAATCATGTTTTATCATCTAACAACAATGAAAATACTAATTATAAAAAAAATTTCATATAAGACGGACAGTCAAATGTTAGACACGGAAACCCCGTTTTGTCTTTTTTTTTGAGACAGATGGAGTATGTATCACTTTACATACATGGAAGTTTGAATTCGATTAAGTTAAGAAGAAACAAATCTAACCGTGGATAGTGCTCGTGAAACTTAAAGGTTAGTTTGTTATTTTGTTTATCAATTTGTAGATCAGTTGAGCTCAAAATTATCTTTTTGGAGGAATAATAAACGACTGTCGTATCAATCTTAGCAAAAAAAAATTTCAGATTTTTTTTAAGCATTTGATTTATATTTGACAGGTTAGAATAAACGAGGGTATGTCGTCAAGGATGATTAATGAACTCCGTCCAAATTGAAATTCAAACTATTTTTTTTATTTTATGTAGCCAAAGAGATACTACCTTCTGTCCAAAATAAATACAGTTTTGCACTGTTTATATTCAACGTTTGACCGTCCATTTTAATTGAAATTTTTTTATGATTAATATTTTTATTATTATTAGATGATAAAATATAAATAATATTTTATGTGTGACTAATTTTTAAAATAGTTTTTTTATAAAACTTTTAAATAAGACGGATGGTTAAATGCTAAATACGAAAACCCATGGTTACACTTAATTTAATTTAGAACGGAGGTAGCATAAGAGAAGCAGAAGTATCACCAATCGCAGCAATGGAGGTCTTTTTCAACAGCTAGCGTGACAAGTTGGAGGGTAGGAAGTCATTTTTCTACGGGTGGGGGTGTGAACTGTGAAGTCTTGGAAGAGAATGAGCAGAACAAAGCGTTAGGCCGTGTTAGTTCCATTTTAATTTTTTTTAAGTATACGGATACACATTTGAAGTATTAAATGTAGACTAATAACAAAATAAATTACAGATTATGTCTGTAAACTGCGTTACAAATCTATTAAGCCTAATTAATCTATCATTAGCAAATATTTACTGTAGCACCACATTGTCAAATCATGGCGTAATTAGGCTCAAAAGATTCGTCTCGTAATTTACATGCAAACTGTGCAATTGTTTTTTCGTCCAGCTTTATACTCCATACATGTGTCCAAAACATTTGATGTGACGAAAAAATTAAAAGTTTAAAGAGAACTAAACGTAACCTTAGTTATCTTGATTGGATATACTTCCACCCACAATATCGCAACCCTTTTCCTTTATATGGTCAACGCCTACACGTGAATTGCACGTGCCAGTGAGTACGAGTTAGTTAACAATACTAGTTAATTACTACTAAACTACCTGGCTTTGCAACTACAAATATATTTACCTTCATAATATTTTCTTAGTAATGAAACTGAACAACGAAATCATCCGACCTATCCACTTACACTAACTAAGGAAGAAAAGAACACATAAATTAACATATCATTTGTTTCTGTGACAGTGTGTTCAACTACAATCAGGAGAACGCTAGGAATATAACACCCTCCAAAACATCGAATTCAAGAAGGAATAATCATTTGTCTACCAATGTCGCTCAAGCCATGCTAAAAAGTCAATTCTAGACTTCCCTTCAAAGACAACTCTAAGACGCGACACCATAGAAAAGAATCGACAAACAAATACCGACATTATTATTTTTCAAAAAAATAATACATGACTTTACCCCCCCCCCCCTCCGGGTGATATCATTAATTGCCAAGAATTCCATACATTCTTCCATGATCAAAGAAAGCTCACTGGGTACAACAGGTGCAACTGATGACTGCCTCCAACCAGAAGAGCAGCCAGAAAAGAACATGACTGCCTCCAACCAGAAGAGCAGCCAGAAAAGAACCACTCCGATCGGTCGTGACCACCAAGTCATCTTGAAATTCATCAATTGGATCAGAACAGCCACGACCGATTATATATAAAATGTGTTATTTATAAATTTGATAGTATCCTGATTTTATGATTGTATCTCGATTATATGATATGACAAATAAAAAAAATACTATATCTAATATGTTGATATTGATTACCTTGTAGCACCTACTTGACAAAGCGTCGTCCTCACTAATCCGCCTTCACTGTTCTCTGTTCAGGAAGATAAGTCATACATAATGTATTATTTATGTTTTATCATCTAACAAAAAAAAATACTAATCATAAAATAAATTTATATAAGATGAACGGTCAAACATTGGATAAAAAACCTAAGAATTAAGTCCTTTTTTTTTCTGAGACGGAGGGAGCACGGAGGAGGCGCGCTGCACGCCTGCACCCCCGGCGGCCCGGCTCCACCAATTTTTTTTGTTCCGCAACCAATGGTAGCGGTTCAAGGCTTGCTAACTTTGAACTGTCCGATCTGATATTGGTAGCTTTGATTTAGAAACGTAGGTGCGGGATGTTGTTATTCCCATAAAACCCCTCGAATTATCGGCTGCGCCCGATAATGACGGTGGCGACCTCCGCCGAGCGGCGGCGCGCGAACGAGAAGCGGCCTGCTGCTGCCGCTAGCCAACTACGCTACGAGAGGCCTCCGCGTGAATCCCCGCCCCTGCCTACCTCCGCGACATGCCGACGAGGCAGGTGGTGGTGGAGGGCTTGGCAGGCGAGACGGGACCCCCACGCTGTACCGGCGACGGAAGAGGCGGAGAGGGGGCTGGCCATCCGGCGAGGCTTGGGCGCAGGGGGAATGGGGGATGAGCAGTTTGGACCCCCTTCGCGGTCCCAGCCGGCCACCGTCTCGCCGGCCAGGTTGACGGCGCTGGCTCTTGTTCGTCGAGGTGACGCCTCCCTCTTTCTCTTCGCTGTTATGCAATGCTCTGACCGACGCGTGGTTTTGCTCTGGATCATTGCTGCATTTGGTTACTGAGAGGGCAGCATTAGCAGCTTTGGTTACTAGAAATTGAAATAACAAATTTACCCTGCTCTAAGAGATCGGGACGAGAACTTTTAGATAAAATGCAGTAATCTTGAATCTATAGGAGTATAGGTTATTAATAGTTCATTGAAAAGCCACAGGAACGTGTAGGGAAGCTCTTTTTAGTTAATTATCCTTTTCTCTGTACCATTACCTTTGTTCTACATTTGAGCAAATCTCCCTGTCCCAATCACTTTCATATAGCTGAGAACAAGGAAATCTGGTAACATGAAGAACTGATTTGCTATAACTTACTTCCGTTTCAGGTTATAAGACTTTCTAGCATTGCCCACATTCATGTAGATGTTAATGAATCTATGCACACATATATGTTTAGATTCATTAACATATATATATGAATGTGGTTAATGCTAAAAAGTCTTATAATATGAAACAAAGATAGTAAATGAATCTTTTTTTTTTCTGAAAACAAGTGGTGTGGTAACAGAAAGAGGAACCATCAGGCTGTGAATTATATAGAACTTGGGAACTAACTGGAAAAAGATAATTAAAGAGAATTCTTAATCTACAAACATACATCATTCGTAAATACTACTTTCTCCATTTCATATTATAAGACTTTCTAGCATTGCCCACATTCATATATATGTTAATGAATCTAGATATATATGTGTGCCTAGATTCATTAATATCTATATGAATGTGGGCAATGCTAAAAAGTCTTATACCTGAAACAGAGGTAGTAATAGCATTCATTGGCATGAACAAGTTGTAAGTTGGCTTGTGCTACTTTTTACATCCCTGACTCTTGAATGGTCCTTTTGCTTCGCCTTTATACTTTTGAAGTAACATTTGATTAATTCGATGAGACTGGTTTGCATTTATGTGTTACATACTATTCTGTGCAGTCAGCATACTTGTCTTCATCACCACATGCCATCAGAGCTTTGGTAATTTCATCCATTGTTGGCCTCTTTGTCCTTTCTCCTATGCATGATAAGGAAATCTTCACCATTTCCATGGCCTGGAGATGGTTAAATTGTCCATGCAGCTTAGCATCCACTATGTGTGTAACATCTCCACAAGCTACAACTTGCTTTAGTGCTTCCACAATTTGTGTCAAATCCAGTTTCTCCCCTTCTGTTGTTGTCTGACTAGAAATCCTAGCTCCCATCACAATTTCAAGAAGCACAATTCCATAGCTAAAAACATCAACCTTTGCGTTAATGGGCAAATTCAACGCCCATTCAGGAGCCATGTATCCTACTGTTCCTCTCATATGGGATAATTGCAAACAAGAGCAATCCCTTTTGGATAGCTTCGCTAGGCCAAAGTCTGCTATTTTAACTTCAAAGTCCTGGGTCAAGAGTATGTTTTCTGGCTTCACATCACAATGAACAACCCACTCAAGGCACTCATGGTGGAGGTATGCCAAGCCCCTTGCTGTTCCCAATGCGATGGTGAACCTCTGGTTCCATCGAAGTAATTTTTTTGCATCTATGCTCTCAAAGAGATGCTTGTCCAGTGACTCATTCTCCACATAATCATAAACCAATAGTTTATGTTTGCCTTCTGAGCAATAGCCCCAAGTCCTTACCAAATTAACATGATTTATCCTGCCAATCACACTTATTTCTGATTGAAACTCCTCTTCAGCTTCTGTTGCATTTGTTAATCTTTTCACTGTCACAACTTTCTTTCTGTCAAGTACGCCTCTATAAACAACTCCAGAACCACCTCTTCCAAGCTCTTCCTTAAAATTTCCTGTAGCCTCCTTCAATTCTCTGTATGAGAATTTCCTGAAGTGCTCAGTCATCAATTCATAACCATCCATCACTGACTTTGGAATATTCTGTTTGCTTCGAAGAAATAAACAAGCTGTTGTTGTGAAGAACAACTCTAGCCCTCCAAATATTGCAGCACATGTATAGAAATACAACCACTTTCCGTGTTGTCGATGCATTTCATATGTAGAATGTGAATGTCTGCATGTCAAGCCATGTTGTTTCACCTCTGAGATATTGCAAGTTTTGGGTAGCTTGAAATATGTGCTTCCAGTAATGGATTGAGTCTTCCGGCCGTTGTAGAGCATACCTTTAGTATAGCAATAACCACTTCCGGCATGGTATGAATAGGCAACACAGGAACGTTGTTGAGAACAAAATTCCTCACAATCTTCCAGTGAAACGGATATATTAAATCCCGTATCATATCCATAAAATTCAACATGACGCATCTCGACAAATATGACTTGCCCTATGGCTTGGCCGTAGTTGTTTGTGAACATTGGCTGACAACCTTTGCTCCAATTCTCTAGATCAGCCATCTCATAACCTGGAAGACAGGAACACCGAGGACCAGGAGAATACTCACATATGCTATTTCTCCCACATAGTCCATGAACGTCACAGTGCTGCGGCATGGCCTCCCATGTGACTATCCAGCTTTTTTCCACTTTATTTAAGCTGTACAACTTGAGATTGCCATCTTGATCAATTGTGAGCCTTCTGTTTATTCCAAGACCTGAGTCAGAAGCAATGATGTTTAGGCCATCACTTGACGTGAAATGACCAGTATTGTCGAGGACTCCAATCCTGGAGCTGTTGTAGTTAGTTCGTCCAAAATCAAAAATTGACTCAGATGGGTTTGGCCAATAGGGACTTGAAATCTCTGGTCCATTATATATGAGCCGGAGGACATTATCAGTGTCATAGTAGAGGCTATAGTAACCAGACACCAACCTTTTGTCCTTGGTAAGGAGCTGCAAAGGTAGCAAGGTATCAGTGGGTGAATCAAAGCTTTGCCACACAACACTACCCTTGGAATCAGTGATGACAAGATTGCCTGTATCAAGTAGAGCAACTCGAGAATCCTGTCCTAGCATTGTCTTGCTATCCCACACAACGAAGCCCTTCTCATCGCTGAGGACTAAGCTACCCTCCTGAGTAAAGGATAGCTTGGAGCCATGACCATTCACTGGTGATTCTGAGTTTGCTGCCCAAACAACGGTTTTTTCGACTGTATTGGTGAACCAGATGGAGAGGGAGAAGGCGTTGTCACCTGTTTCGTAGAAACCAAAGGAGAAAGTATTGCTGGGTGAGATGAGAAATGGTTTCTCATATTCTTCTACCGATAAGAATGAGCCGGTACCCAGTGTATGCTCTGGTGATGCAGAAGAGAATGCCAGAATCTGTAGTGACGAAAAGAGGATGAGGCAGGGAATTGTTTCCATTACATCAGGTGCATAAGTGTATGAGATATATGATTGGCTTCAGAGATGGAAGAAGGAAGGGAATGATGCATTTGTTCTGTATTTATGTAGCACTAGAAGAGCGCTATTCTAATCTGGGGTCAAGGATCATTTAAGTCTTCCTCCACAAGCATTTTTGCTTCTGAAGACTGGTAAATGGCCAAAAGTTTATCCATTTGTTTCTTACTGATCATTTGATAATTTTCTTTATCCTTTTTTTCAATGAGAACGGTCCTTGTTTTGATTGTGTGGACTGTGGTGTGGAACGAGCTTTGTCTAGGACTAAATACTAGCGAAAATATCTTTCTGAATCCGCGTAAAGTTTATTTTGAAAAGGGGAAGCCTAGGTTCTCCCTTTTCTTTTTCTGGTTACTGATGATTATGGAAAGCTCGTCTAAGTATGGTGGTACTGGATGAGTGGATTGTATTGACTCTTACAGAAGAAATAATTTCCTATTGCAATACCATTTGTGATGCAAGAATTGTTCTTTTTCCTTGTCTTTTATAGGAACTGAACTCTAATGTGTGAGATTTTTAAAAATTCCCCCTTGTTCTAGAATTCAGGACTCGATACCTGAGTGTAGTCCTAAAGAAAAGAAGATACCTGAGTGGCCCTGTTTTGATTCTAACTTTTTTCTTCGAACTTTCAACTTTTCCGTCACATCGAACTTTCCTACACACACAAACTTTCAATTTTTCTGTCACACCGTTTCAATTTTTTCAAACTTTCAATTTTGGCGTGGAACTAAACACAGTGTTGGTCTATGGAAAAATGGAATCTCTATGACCTGGTATAACCGTAAGTCTGTAGATGCATGCATTCACATGGACACGGAATTTTGACTTTGAAATTTTTGTCACCGACAACGTTTGGAAAAAAGATTGACAGCGAACCTGTTCAAGCTTTCCTTTACTCACGGTAATCAGGTCTGCCAAGTATTTTTTTTTCTTGGTTATAAGCGTGTCCTCGTGGCTAGTTTAGCAAGCTCTTCGGATTTCTTCTACTCCTACTTGTAACTAGCTGCGCGGCTAACAACAATACAGAGTTATCTATTTTTTAATATGATTTTACTTAAAATTTGTTAAATCGCTATTTCATTGTCTTACGATTTTGAAAGACCAAACCTTATCATCCTCATGTTTTAATTTTATGATTCTTAAAAATCACGTCAGATGCTACCCCTTACTTTTTTTGTCACACCTTCTTTATATGCTTCCCCGATCTACATGCTTATATTTATTCTCCTTGAAACATTTAAAAATTGGATCCTGTAGTTTTTATAGTTTATGGTCTCATTAGGTTTCTTTTTTATAATTTTTAAAAGTCACGTCAAACGTCGTAGAGCACACCTTTAGTATGGCGCGCTAGATAACACGTGTAAATTTTTCAAGGTGTGTTTAGAATATGAAAATTTTACAGGATTTTTTAAGAGTTATCTCGATTTTCATCAAATATTCTATTTTGCATATCATCCTATTAGCCTAATCTCCTGCAGTATTTAAGTTTCGATTGACGATGCTCCTGCAGCATTAAGTTTCGATAGATGATGGACTATAGATGAAACTGGTGTATAACAATTATTTCAGAGCTTAAATGAATGGATTAAATATTATAAAGTTGATGTACTGATTTAAAACAAATCAAATAATAAACCATAAGCTTGTGAAGCATGCCCTTCATAATCCATAATAGTAAGAGGAAAAAAACACTCCTAAGTCTTTTGCTTCATAATTATCTTGTCGATAAAAATCTATTCTATATTTTTTTCATACAAATTTCGAAAGAAGAAATTATAGTACAAAAATCCAAAGAGGACTAAATCCGTATATACTCCCTCCGCTTTTTTAATAGATGGTGTCACTAACTTTTAAACACATGTTTGACCATTTGTTTATTCAAAAAATTTATGCAAATGTATAAGATATAAATATTGCTTAAAATACTTTGAGTGATAAAACAACTCACAACAAAATAAATTATAATTACATAAATTTTTAAATAAGACGAATGGTTAAACGTTGGATAAAAAGTCAACGGTATCATTTATTAAAAGTCGGAGTCGGAGGTAGTATGTTTCATTGGAAGTTGCTAGTATATATCCGTTCCGACTCCTAGTAAAAAAATTTCAGTCACTACCATATATTTATGCTGTCTTCCTCGATGCCACTTTTCTCTCCGTCGCCTCACTTGTATTTGTAATAGCCGGTCATCTGCACCTTCTTTTTTACTGGATTATGTTTTTTTACCCCAAAACAGTTATGATTTATCTTCAATGAAACAGTTTAATGCCTCTTGGAGCCTAGATGTTGCAAACAGCTAGATAGTTGGAAGCATCTAGAATCTGTAATTTTTCTACTTGACACTTTTTCCCTATAAGATTTATCTCAAAGTTCAAGTGGCTCATGTGTGCCAATAAGCTGGAGAAAGGTATAGAACTATACAGATGGACACGTGGAAGGATTTCTGAGGTGTGTAGCTAAATTTTGAGGCTGCCACGTGGCCCAATGGCAAGCTAGAATCTTGGCCTTGAAATCGGTATTAAAGATAACCACCTCCGGCACGGTATGAGTGGGCAACATAGGAATGTTGTTCAGAACAAAATTCCTCAGTCTTCCAGTTACTAATAGTTCATTGGCTTGTGACTTCGATGGAAGAAGATCAGGTGCGGAAGTGTGTAAGATACGTGATTGGCTTGTGACTTCGATGGAATCATGGAAGAATGGAATGGTGCATTTCTTCTGTATTTATATAGCACTAGAAGAGCGTTAGGCTCATTCAGTCTTCCCCCACAAACATTTACGCTTCTGAAAACTGGTAAATGACGCCAAAAGTTTCTGCATTGTTTCTTACTGATCACTTTGTAGTGTTCTCTTGTTCCTTTCTTGTTAATCATAGGGTCCTTGTTTTGATTGTGTGGACTGTGGTGTGGAATGAGTTTTAAGTAAAAAATACTAGTGACAATGTCTTTCTGAGACCCTGCGTAAAGTTTTATTTTGAAAAAGGGAAAGCTTGGGTTCTCTCCTTTCTTTTGGTCGCTGATGACTACCGAAGCTAGTCAAAGTATGGTAGTTCAGAATTAGTGGATTGTGTTGACTTACAGAAGAAAAACTGACTTATTGCAATACCATTCGGAAAATAGGATGCAAGAATTGTGCTTTTACTAGGGCGGTGTTTATTCCTGAAATTGAGAAGAAGTTTGGGGAAAGTTGATAGTTTGAAAAAAAAAAGTTAAGAGTTTATGTGTGTGTAGGAAAATTTTAGATGTGATGTGATGGAAAGTTGGAAGTTGAGAGAAAGTTTAGTGTGAACTAAACAGAACATAGGACTTCTATAGAAACTGAACTGCGATGTGTGAGATTCTTAAGAAGTTTCCCTTGTTTCAGAATTAAAGGACAAAAAAACCAACACCGGGCAGCCACTTCATTTATCCTCGATACATGAGTTGGTCTACGGAAATATGGAATCTCTATGACCTGGTATGCCTGTTATCTAGATGCATGCATTCACATGGACGCGGGATTTCGACTTTGGACTTTCCGCCGACTCACGAAACAAAGTTTGGAGAAAGACGATTGGCGGCAAACCTGGACAAGCTTTCCTTTACTCACGATAATCAGGTGTCCTAGTTGTTTTTTGTTGGTTCTAAACGTGCCATAGCTGATAGCTTTGCATACTCTTTGAATATTGTAGGCAGAGTTCCTGCCGTTCCGCTGATGCATGGTGAGTTTGGTTAGGTAGATGAGTCTAGATGGGAGATGGCCGCTCGATTTTCTGTGGTGTTTGATTGGAGGGCAAGGTAAATGGAGCGGTCCGGAATAGGGAATATTCCCTCAATAAGTTAGATGAGTGCATCCGGATGATTTGGCTCGATGAAGCCATCCAGTTTTGGATTGGGTGATGTGTCCTATTCTGATTAGTTGTGGTTAGTTTGATTTTCTGTTAAGCAACTTCCAAATGATTTTTTTATCCTAAACCGTTTATCTAATTTATGATTTGATTACACCATTATATTTGTTATATTTAAATCTTTAAAACAAGATCTCGGATGATTATATTTTGATAAAAAAGTATATATGACAAATGGACCCCACTAACTTTTGGTTTTTCCCATCCATACTATATCCCTCCAACCAAATAAGAAATTGGATCATCATATCTCTACAAAACAAACAAAAATTGAATCGCCATATCCAACTAAATATGGATGGCCATATCCCATTCATACATGACAGTCAACCAAACACACCTCAAATCATCAAATCAACCATGCCAAACAGCTAAGGACCAACAAAGTACTTGACATCATCAGGAGGGAGACCAAAAGGTCACCACCATTGATGCTATCTCACGGAGGAACAGACACGGCGAGAAGCTGCCGGCGGGGCGGTGGCCGTGGCTACTCGAAAGAGAGAAGCGTTTTTCCGATCACCCCCAATAGGTGGGCTGGGCCCATCATGACTCATGAGTCAGGCTGCCCGATAACTGAATCACAACCAATGGTAGCAATCCACATTTGTTGAGACGGTTCATATTATAGCCAAAATAAACCTTATTAAGTTTAGAAAAAGTACACCGAAGGTCCCTCAACTTGTCATCGAGTTACAAAATTGTCCCCAAACCGCAAACCAGATATCCGGCATCCCTTAATTAATCAAAACCGGTCACAATAGAACCTTAAGTGGTTTTAACCCCGGTTTTATCCTACGTGGCGGCTGAGTCAGCATGGGACCCCACGTGGGCCCCACATGTCAGGCTAAGTCACTCTCCCTCTCTTCTCTTCCTCAGTTACTCCTCTTTCTCTCTCTCTCTGTGCCTGTAGGCCGGTTGGCGGGGTGAGGCGGGAGAGGAGGGCGGCGCCACGACGGCGGCCGACGGCGGCAGCAGCCCGGCCGAGCTCCTCGCACGGCCGGTGGGGGAAGCCTTGGAGTTGGGCGGCATCGAAGGCATGGGGAGGAGACAGGCAACGGCCAGCGAAGGGGCGGCGACGCGCAGTGGGGTGGCGGATGGGGAAGCGGCGCGGCATGGCGGATGGGGAAACGACCGCGGCGAGGATGGCGGCGGGCGAGCAGGAGCGGCAAGGCGGCGGTGTGCAGCGGGGCGGCGTCCACCTCTCCCCTCTCTACCTCTATTTCCTCCGAGTCTTCACCGACGAGGAGGCAGCGGCGCGCGACGGCCTGTGGAAGAGGAGCGGCGCGCGGCGGCTCGCGGGAGAGGAGCAGCGTGCGGCGGCCAATCTCCCGGTCTCCTCCTCCTCCGCCGCTGCCGTATGGATCCCGCCGCTCAGCTGCCGGATTTGCACGGCCGCGGCGATGGTCCTCTCGCCGCCGGGCATGGCTCGCCGTGTTGGAACGCGGAAGGGCGGGCGGAGTAGCGGGGCGACGACGGTAGCAGGCCACGAGCGGAGCGGAAGCGGCGGCCGAGGTCGAGGCCGAAGACGTGTGGTGCGGTGTACAGCGGGAGGCGGCGTGACCACGGGGGACGAAGCCGGTGGTGGTCGCCAAGGAGGAGCCCTGCGGCGTCGTCGTCTTCGGCGGCGGCGCGTGTACGGCGAGGAGCGGGGGTGACGGCGGCGGCGGCACGCGCCGAGCTTGACCGACGAGTCAACGACGACCTAGAGGAGCTGAAGGGGTGCGTGGATCTCGGGTTCGGGTTCAACTACGACGTAATCCCCGAGCTCTGTAGCACTGCCCCGTGCTCGAGCTCTGCTACTCCATGACCCAGCGCTGTCGAAGTGGAGCACCAGCCGCGGCACGTCCACGGCCTACGGCGCGGCCCCCGCGAAGCAGAGGCTGAGGCCAAGGTGTGCGCCGCTCGCCAAGGGCAGCCGAACGCGCGCAGGAGGAGCGCCAGCACAGAGGCCGCCTCGGCATGCGCGAGCAGGAGTTGCAGCCATCGTTGGTGGAGTCGGGGCGGACGATGTCGGCGGCGCGTGGCTGCTTCATCCCGAACCGGATGGCTGCAGGTGCGTCGGCACGCAGTCGATGACATCACCGTTGGGGCCGCCGCGTCGCCGTGTTTCCCGCTATAGCAGCCGCCGTCGGGCACCGGCCACCGTCGCGCCGCCGGCCGCCCTCCACTTTCCCGCCTCGCGTTGCTAGCCTCTGGCCCTCTGCACCCACCGCTTTGCCTCGCCCAGAAAGAGAGAAGAGGAGAAAAAGGGAGGGTGATGACGTGGATTACCCTGACACGTGGGGCCCAAGTGGGTCCCACGCTGACTCAGCAGCCACGTAGGACCAAACTGGGATCAAAACCGTCGAGGGACCTTTTGTGACCGGTTTTGATTAGTTAAAGGACGTGGGATATCTGGTTTTACTAAAATTTTGCTAGGATTTTTTATGTATTGACAAAAGTTGGCAACAAACTAAACGTAGCCATTTTTTTTTTATAATTTTGGTAAAAAATGGTATGGTTGAAAATGGTATCGAAATGAATGAACAGGCCCGTTGTCTTTTAACCGTTCGATCTGATATATATATATATACGCACGTGCGGCATGTTGTTGTTCTGTGCAATTGTTAGGAGACCGGTAATGACGGTGTCAAATAAAAAAAAAGAGAGACCGATAATGACGCCGGCGACCGCTTCCGAGCGGCGGCGAGAGCGAGATACGGACGGGTACGCCTACGAGAGGCCCCCGCGTTGAACCCGATCCTGCCAACCTCCGCGACATGCCGGCGAGGCAAGTGGTGGAGGTGTTGGTAGGCGATACGGAATCCCCCACACCGTGCCGGTGATGGAAGAGGCAGAGAGGCTTGGGCGCAGGGGACGAGAAGTTTGGACCCCCCACCCCCCACACCCCCTCCATCGTGGTCCCAGCAGGCACCGTCTAGGTGACGCCTCCCTCTTCTCTTCGTTGTTATGCAATGCTCTGATAGTCTGATGCGTGATTTTGCTCTGCCTCGTTGCTGCATTTGGTAACTCAGCGGGTAACATTAGCAGCCTATGGTTAGTCGAAGACTCGAAACTGACATGAACTACATATATTTGTACAAGATGTTGTTGATCTAGATGGTTCATGCGGTGGGAAGTTAACATGAGTTACATACTTGCATACATCTACCTTTTTGTTCATTGTACGCATATTTGTGTTAAAGATTAGAGAAAAACTCAGTACAACATAAGACATTTCCTCAAAGAACAGTTTGGTTTGCCAAATTACATTTGTGCTGTTGATCAAATTGAATTATTGACAAAGATAGTTCACATAAATTTATAATCTATTGCTAATAGAACAAGCTACAAAGTTGTGAATTTTGGATGGAAATTTTGTATCTCATTGTTTTACAATAATAGCCAGCTAAATCCTTCATGGAACTGATTAATTGAAAATAACTATGTTAGTGCTTCAGGGACTAGATACCCCTTTTATTTCGGCTTATCTGTCTTTAAAGAACCTGAGAGATTTACCTACAATTGTATGTCTCAAGAACAAAAGAAAAAAACAAAATACATTTTTTTAAAAGATTACATAAAATTCCTGATAAATCTTAAAATAAGTCAATAACTAAACACTGCATTATCTTGATTTTCACAGGAAAAGGACAAAATATGGTTATTGGCTAAATGACACAGGACTACAAGTAATGCCTTATCCTTTTCCTTGATGGGTCAGAAAGTACATATGTTTGCAAAACATTGCTATCAATGCCAAGCTTACTCCTTCTCTTACTGCTTTTCGTCCCTACTGCTTTCAGGTTCATTGATTAGCAAAAATGACCAATTTACTCTTCACAATCCAGGAGACTTTTGACAACTTCATGCATGGTCGGCCTCTTGCTTCTTTCTTCTTCAAGACATGATACAGCAACTATCAACATAACCATTGCCTGCTCAGAATTAAATTGCCCATGTAGCCTACCATCCACTATGCACTTAGTATCCCCAGTAGCAAGAGCTTCCTTTACATTCTCGATAAATTGCTTTAACTTGGTAACTTTCCCTTCCCTGGTTGTATGACTTGAAATTCTCTGTCCAGCCACAATTTCCAGAAGCACCACTCCATAGCTGTAGACATCTACCTTTGCATTGATTGGCAAATTAGTTGCCCACTCCGGAGCCATGTAGCCCATTGTTCCTCGCATTTGTGAGAAGTTGAAGCTGGAGCCCTCTCTCTTATACAATTTTGATAGTCCGAAGTCTGCTATCTTGGCTTCGAAATCTCGGGTCAAGAGTATGTTCTCAGGCTTCACATCACAATGGAAAACCCACTCAAGACAGTCATGGTGGAGATAAGCCAGTGCCCTTGCTGCTCCCAAGGCAATATTGAAACGATCTTTCCACACGAGCAATCTTTCAGTACCCATGGTATTGAACAGATACCTGTCCAGTGACTCATTCTCCACATATTCATAAACCAGTAGCTTATGTTTTCCTTCTGAGCAGAAGCCCCATATCCTGACCAAATTCATGTGGTTTATCTTACCGATAACACTCATTTCTGCCTGGAATTCAACTTCGCCTCGTGTGACATCGATGAGCTTCTTCACTGCAATGACCCTCTTATCTTTGAGTACTCCTCTGTATACGATTCCAGAACTACCTCTTCCAAGCTCTTCCCTGAATTTTCCTGTTGCTTCCTTCAGCTCTTGGTAAGTAAACCCCCTGAATTGATTTCTTATCATCATGTAACCTCCCTCTGCTGAATTCTGAATGTCATTCCTTATGGAAAGAAACCACCAAGCTGTTAGAATGAAAATTAGTTCCAAGGCTCCGAATACTCCAGGGAATATATAGAAATATAGCCATCTTGGGTGATCTGAAGGTGTTGCAATCTCCTGACTGCCAGGGGAGCATGTGAGAGCTGATTGTGTTGATGAGGCCTGTAAATTTGTGCTGTAGGGCACTTTAAGATATAAAGTTCCTGGGAATGCAGGAGACTTGTAACCATTGAACAGGAGGCCTTTAGGGTAACAAACACCAGTTCCAGTTAGCCGGTAAGAGAAAGCAATGCAAGAGCACGTGCTCAAGCAGATATTTTGGCACTCTTCAAATGAGATGGACTGGTTAAAGCCAAGATCAAAGTCATAGAAATCAGTTTGGGGAATCTCAATGAACTTGTACCTCTCTTTCCCACAATTATAGCTAAATGTCGGTCTACAACCCTTGCTCCAATTCTGTGGATCAACCATCTCGAATCCAGGAGGACACGAACAACGAAGTTCTGGTAAGTACTCACAAATCCCATTCTTTCCACACATGCCGTGCACATAATGCATCTCCACTATGGCTTGCCATGTGACTGTCCAACTCCCATCTGATGCGTCAAGGCTGTATATACGGAGGTTGCCATCATAGTCAAGAGTCAGTCTTCTCTTGATCCCGAGACCAAAATCAGAAGCCTGTACTGTAAGAGCATCACTTGAGAAGAAACCGCCTTTGTCATCGAGGACTGCAAGCCTGGAGTTGTTCTTGACTTTGATGCCATCCCGGAACATGGTGTAATCATCATTTGGCCAGTAGATGCTTGAGAACTCAGGTCCGTTGTATACAAGACGAAGGCTATTGTCGTTGTCGAAGTAAAGGCTATGGTATCCAGATACTAACCTCGTGTCTTTGGTCAATTGCTGTGCAGGTAGCAAGGTATCCGTTGGGGAAGTGAAGCTTTCCCACAAGATTGTGCCGCTTGAATCTCTGACCACAAGGTTTCCACTCTCCAGCAGCGCAGCCGTCGACCCCTCGCCTGCACTCATGGTGCTCGTCCAGACCGTGGAACCATTGACATCGATCAGGACCAGGTAGCCATCATCATGCAGCAACACCTTCGATCCATGCCCATTCACTGGTGACCGGCGATTCGCAGACCAGACGACTGTTTTGCCCGCCGTGTTGGTGAGCCAGATGGAGAAGGTGAAGGCGTTTGTCCCAATTGGGTAGAAGCCGCATGAGAAGGTGGAATTCGGTGATGTGAGGAATGTATGCTTGTAATCTTCCACCGAGAAAGATGAGCCGGTGTGCAATGTCAGCCGGGGTGAAGCAGAAGTGCAGAACACCAAAAGAGAGAGGAAGAATGAAAGGATGATCAGATAGAGAAACTTTGCCATTGTTTTGTTTTTCTTTGACAACTCTCTTGTTTGATATCATTGGCTCTGTGCTACTGCTACCATGTGATCCGCAACTGGAGACGGAAGTCTTCCCTTCTCATACTTTAAACATATCTATTTGGCGGTGGATGATAGCTTGGACTCGACTGGCGAAGATTCCTGTCCTGTTGTTTTCGGTGGTTTGGCTGGTTTGTGAGGTACGTGTCTGACATATTATATGTAGGCACACATATCAGTGTCTTTTTTTCTTTTCTGGAATTTTCCATTGTTTCGTGTCTAACAGACGCGTGAATTTTGGTGCTGAGCGGATTGGAGGATGCCATTGCCAGTTGGCATAAAGAAGAGAAAGCAGCCTTCTTGTAAGTACGAAAAATGCACAGACAAACCAGGGCAACGTAGCGGATTATTTTAGCGCATCGCCCTCGATATAAGTTGGTCCCTGAAGAAGAGATAATGGCATGCATATGAAACGTTTTCTGAACTTCCTTACAGAAAGGTGTTAGGGGGCCTAATTCACGTAATATGGCATTCATCGTCCATTAAAGCAGCGTAAAGCAGTACTAGCGGTGCTCTTTGTTCGATTAGTGAAGGATAATAAATAGTACTACCTCCGGTTTTTTAATTTTTTAATAGATGACGCCATTGACCTTTTCTCACATGTTTGACCATTCGTCTTATTAAAAAAATTATGTAATTATAATTTATTTTGTCATGAGTTGTTTTATCACTCATAATATTTTAATATTTTAAGTGTGATTTATATCTTATACATTTGAATAAAATTTTTGAATAAAATGAATGGTCAAATATGTGAGAAAAAATCAACAGCGTCATCTATTAAAAAACGAGGGAGTAACTCGTTTCCTGCGTCCACAGGTATTCTACTCGGTCTCTGAAAGCTGCTTGACCAGCTTTATCTGTTGGTCAACCTGGATGCATTCAGAGCACGGGTGTTCGACTTTGAAGATTCTTCGACGTCAACAACCAAAAGGAAGAAGGCTAGGAGTTAGAGCAAGTTTAATAGTACAGTCAACTACTGGCTTCAAATCATTTATAGCTAATTCATACAATAGCTACTTACTATATTATTAATATCTAGTCTCACATGTCATACACACACTGTGTTTTAGAGTCTGTGCTGCAGTCGGCTATAAATCTGTAGCCCACTGCTCTCCTCTCTCCTCTTTTAGAGCAGGTCCAATAGCAGGCTATAAGCCAGCTATAACCACGTAACAAGAAGAAAAGAGAAGAGAGAAGAAAGTTGGCTATATATTTGTAGCTACTTGCAACACGGAATACAAGACGTTATGTGTGTATGACAGGTGAGACCAGGTATTAATGATGTATATTTTTATACTTAACTATTATATAAATGGGTTGGCTATACTATTAAACTTGTTTTTATCTCTTTAAAATATGTTTATAGTAACCCACTCGTGTATACTCATTTCCTCATTATGTCTTTGCTGTGAAAGCGTGTACAAAGTGTTCTCACCAGTTTCCCATACCGGTTAAATAAACCCGGGTTCTCACACCCTATCGTATTTTCAGAGCAGCGCTGCCTGAAAGAGCAGTACTTTCAAGATCCTTTTCAGCTTTAGGCTCTGTTCGTAAATCGCAACTGCTCGCTCCCAACTCCCTTTGCCTCGTTTTCCACGCGCAACTTTCCAAACTGTTAAACGGTGTATTTTTTTAAAAAAAAATTCTATACGAAAGTTTTTTAAAAAATCATATTGATTCATTTTTTTTAAAAAAAATAACTAATGTAGTAAAAGAAATCATATAGATCTATTTTCCATGCACACTGTTTCGCTTGGAAACCTCCAGCAACAAACAGGCATAGTACAGTGATCTCTACAGGTATTAGAAAGCAATTTAAACTGTTTAATCTTATTTGATCGAAGGGATCAGATTTATCTCTACTACCACCATAGTTATCAATAATAGAAACGTGGATGGAAACTTTTATCTAGAAAAAGCTGGAGTGAAGGAGTATAAGTGTCATTTATCAGCAACTAAACCTAGCAACTCTTTTCTAAGAAGAGTTTGATGAAGATTAAGATTTTTATGGCACGCTTTTCAAACTGACGGTGTTTTTCGTGCGAAACTTTCTATATGAAAGTTACTCTAAAATATCATATTAATCTATTTTTTAAGTTTGTAACAATTAAAACTCAATCAATCATACGTTAATACCACCTCGTTTTATGTAAAAAAAAACTTAATCTTCATCTTCATCTTTATTTTCAGGAGAAAAAAACACCACCTAAGTCGTTTGATGCCGCCGCCCAAACACGAACGTGTCGCTCCCCCTATTCTCATCCCCGCTTAGCGTCTCCTCCCTTCTGCCACCTCTACTGTCGACTAGCACCGACCAATCATAGCACTAGCAGGCGTTGTCGCCCAGCCCCGTTTCCTCTCCTCCTCAGTCGTAGCAGGCTCGACCATTCCTCCGTCGACGGTCGCCCTGCCCTACCCCCATCCCTGTTGGCCGCTCCATCACGACAAGCCTCGAGGGTCGGCCCATGTCGTCCCTCGATTATCTTCCTCGATCCCTTGTGAGCATGAAACCCTAGGCAAGGTGGTGAGGTACGCGATTCGGGGTTTGGGAAGTCGATGGCGAGTTGTGGTTGTTAGGTTGTGTGGCGTTGCTATGGATCCATGGAGAGGCACACGCTGCGTCGGGCAAGAGCGGTGCTTTGAATCCACAACCTTATCTCTCTCATTGCCCATGTAAATTAGTAAAATCCTTTTTCCCGATTAATGTGGAAAAGGGGTTATTTTTCTTCAATCCATCGTCTTGTTTTTTGATGATTTGGGTTGTGTTTAGTTCACTCAAACTTACAACTTTTTCGTCACATTAAATGATTGGACACAATGTGGAGAAAAAAAAAACCAATTGCACAATTTGCATGTAAATTGCGAGACGAATCTTTTGAGTCTAATTACGCTATGATTTGATAATGTGGTGCTACAGTAAACATTTACTAATGACGGATTAATTAGGCTTAATAGATTCGTCTCACTGTTTGCAGGCGGAATCTTTAATTTATTTTGTTTTTAGTCTACGTTTAATACTTCAAATGTGTGTCCGTATACGTCAAAGAAATTTTGCCAAAACAACTAAACACGGCCTTGGTTGGAATGGTTGAGAGCAGGGTTGATATGCAAGACGGTGGCATGTGGGAATAGGAACTGCATGGCGGCGATGGGGTTCATGGGGTACAGGTGCGAGTACGAGCCAGGGTACAAGCAGATGCACGTCGGTGACGAGGCCAACTTCCTGCCCTGCGTCATCCCAAACTGTAAGGTTTCATATATCGTCCTTTCACTTTGCTGTTCAGATTGATAATAGAATGAACATGCAAGTGTTTTTCAGTAATTTCAGCTTGTAAGTTGTAAGATGCCAATTTCTGAACTTTAGAACAAGTGTCATCTGAAGTATGCTGCTTTTGATGCTTTTATGCAGCTTAGGCATCTTGCAAATTATTTGATCAGAAATACAGTGTTTTAGCGTTAACGTGAAGAATTTTGCTATGCATAGACACAGCACTAGATACATGTGACGGTTAGTACTCTCATATTACTATATCACTTTGTGTGCTCTAAGCTTCACTAGACAGAAAAAATGTATCTCCTAGAATACATTGCACAGAACAAGCGAGCCCACACGCTGTGATCAGACTGTCAATACCAATATACTCACTCCATTCCATATGGATGATTATATGAGTTTTTCATCGAGATAAAGGTAGACTTAACTACCATATATTTCATTTAATACGAGTATGTGGGGGTTGATTTTTTATTTAATGTGAGTATGTGGTGGTGAAAAATAAAGAAACATGCATACTTTAACTTTCCACATGCACAAGAAACGAACCTTTAACTATCCCTAAATGCCTGCATGCATGAATGCAGACTCAATTTACATGCATAGATGCAATAATGCTACATATCAAATGAAGGGGTCATGGTTATGATCAATTTGGAAGTTTTTATTTTGGTTATATGATAAATTAATTTGGAATGAAGGGAGTACCAATATACTATAAAACTACCATCGCTTAAATTAAAGCCCCAATTTTTTTTTTTTGCTTTTGGGAAGAAAACTGTAATTAATAGCGGAGAAGGTTAAGGCAAACTAAGAGAAAGCCACAATTTTTTACCTAAACTTGATAGAGCCGACGAACGTCCTTGAATCAAGGATCAGCGACGGCGGGGTAACCTGAGACGGTGATGGCGAGGGTGGTTCGTGCAAGTCTCGCGCGCACGACGAGTACTGCGAAATCGACATAGGAATGGATCGAAGTAGCTTCCGAATTGGGCGCCACCACAAGTCTCACGCGCACGCGGAGGGGATCAGGCAACCGGCCGGCTCCAGAGGATCGGAGTGGCCGCCGTCCATAGAATTGGGAGCACGCGGGAAGGGCCACTAGGACCCGCCGCTGGAACGGATCGAATCCTCCAAAGTGGGCGTCGTCGCTAATCTCGCCCCGCACGCGGAGAGGGGTCGTCGCAGCCAACGCCGAAAGTCGTCGGAGCAGCCTCCGAACGGGGCACCCCCGCCTGGATCGAGGGCGCTCCTGCGCGCACGTACGGCGGCGAAGCGGGTTGCCAGCTATGAATGGAGAACGTGAAGGAGAATGCACAGAGAAGGGCCGCCGAAGTGTTTCGCCATCGGCGGGAGGACTCGCGATCCACACGTGCAACCGGCGGGAGGACTCAGTCACGATCGACAAGCGAGCGACGCTTTTTGCTTTTCGCTTTTTCGATGGACGAGCGAGCAATACAAAGCGACCGTGGGATCGATGACGGAGACGACAGACCTAAAGACCGACCGAGACACACACACAAAAAAAAAATATTCAAAGTTACCCCTAATCCATATCACTATCATATTACTAATGTACCCTTAGGATTATTTCTACTGCTATCAAAGCACCGGAGCATCGCTCTTTCAGCTTCTATTGTTTCGCCCTACACCTTAATTCTGATGTGCCCTGGTGTCACCAATGGATTCTATGTCATGTACCGATGTCGTCCCAGGAGCAAACAAACCCCTCGAACGGTCGCCATACTTGGAATTTGGAAATTAAGGGTTGCTAACATAAGCAAGCCCTCTAAAAGGGCTGTCTTAACGGACAAATTGAAAAATATGCAAGTAGGTCAGGCAACATAAATGCCGATTACAACGGGAGCTTAAAATAGGAGCAACGTTAAGAGGTTCAAAGCTTAGAACTTAGAAGTGCATTACAACAAACTTGACAAGCATCCTTCGTGTATCATCTGCATTTCCCCTGTCATCATCCTGGATGCGGTAGCACAGCCTGTGGAAATGCTGAAGTTGAGGCAACAAGCACGTAGAGGGACGAGATAGCCAGAATGGAAGTTGTGTCCTCAGCACCAGTGAGTATGATACTAATGTTGGTCCCTATTTCTGCAAGCATACTCCCTGGATACAGTAAATGTATCAGATCATCGTATTCACTGCTGAAATATCAACGACCCTGCCAACAACAGGCCTTTGTTCATGGACCTGTAAATAATTCGGTTAGCAAGCAATTTCAGGAAGAAGATGCCAAAAGAACATTTCATTGAGCACTTACCGTGGCACAACTGCTGCCCAATGATTTTGGCATCTGTGGTTTTAAAGACTGGAGCCGAGAATGATAACTGGCATTGCCACAATCCACTTCATCGCCTGCTTGGGCCTTTTCAGTCAATGATATACCAAAGATTTTGCAGCCATTTGTATTAAGACACTTGTTATTTGATTCATGCTCAGCACCACTGACTGGAGAGTGCAGCTTCTCATTTCTCGTACACTCATCTAGCACTTTGCCTGAAATAAGATGAGGCCAGAGTCGTAATGTTTGATCAGTTCTTGTCATATCTTGTGTAGGTCCAATCTTAAAATGTCGGCTATTCTCATTTCTATCCAGGCATCCGTATATGTATTCAAGGCCAGGCATCTTTGAACTAGTTTGTGGAAACATTAAGACAGATGATGGAGAGGATGCTTGCGGCAGAACTGATGTGGTTATCCCATGATGATCACATCCTTGTGGTGCAAGCCATTTAAATGCTGCACCAGGTGCATGGTTGCCATCAGGTTGACGGAAGCCAGAACCTCTTATACAGGCATCGGACAAAGTCCCTCCTCGGTAAGGACGAAACACTTCTTGACCTTGCAAGACCTCTTGGAATCTTTGAGATTCCCCAAAGCCTGAGCAATGGTAGGAAAACCCAGGGTTTCCACTTGGAGTTTTCACCCCAAGTCTCGGAACCCCTAAGATATTGTTACTCATGTTGATAGAGCAACTTCGTTCATCAGTGTACTGAAAATTTCTTGCCTCAGTCGCCTGAGAAGCTGTATTAACAGTACCATCACGAGTTTTTAAACCCAACAATTCTTGACCTTGCAAGACCTTGTGGAATCTGGCAGACTCCGCAAAATCTGAAGAAACACTTCCATCTGCCAAAATGGGAAAAGGAAAAGTGAGTTCAACAGGGAACATGCAGCACAGAAAATGATTCCTTTGACTTGTAAATGGAACCTACTTGGAAGCACAATATCTGGATTAACTTGGGGGAAGCATGATTTCAGCCGTTTTGAATGGGGAGTGGACAGATGAGATCCTGAAACTGATCCACTAAGCTCAATCTCCCAAGGAGATACCCCATTAGGCCGACGGCACTCCACATCATCATCCCATTTCACCTGTCACCATCACAATACAATACTAGAAATCAGGAACATGATAAAGATTTGGAATATAAATGGAGAAAATTTTAACAAAGTAAAGACGATGCCCTGCCCACTATGGCATGTAAAGTATGCCCTTCAACCTCTATATTCTATCCTATAAGCTGATAAGCAGAAGTGCAGGGCGCTATTTTTCAGGGTTCATCATATCAAATGCTTCTAAACTTGTGTGTTCAGAAAAACATAGATATAGAACCTGAAGTACACCAAGAATTTACATATGCGCTGCAAACACGAATTTACATATGCGCTGCAAACACTGAAATCTTGACCAATACTTTCATAAGTTCACAAAAATAAACTTTAAGCTAGTTTATTTCACATAAAAAGGTTAAATGCCTTTGTTTCCGTAATTTACCCTTGTATGAGCCATTAAATCTATTCAAAATTTTGGATTGTACAAACTATAACTTCCCAACAGATAAAAAGCTAAGACATGGAACACAAAATGTTGAATGCTGAATACAGAGAAGCACTCTGCTATTTGAAAGACACGGACCCACTAGGCAGTAAAACATCAAATAAGAGAACTACTGGCATCCATCTGTGCAAAGCAGTATTATATATAAGAGCGCATACCACTAAACATTTCCACTTCGAACCATGCCACATTGGATCTGCCTCTCTGCTTCCAATTATTATTCCAGTACGCCTGAAAAACAAATTCTTTATGAAAAACCAAGCACGAGCTAGAAATATCTTTACCATTGTAATGCCATTTCGCAAAACATGAAATATAACTGTTGGATAATACCTTCTTTCAGAAGCATCCTCACTCTCATATCTCAATTTGAATCGCATTCCAACAGAAAAGGGTTGACTGAAGCTTCTCATAAACTTCCAATATGGTATAATGAACTCAGACTGACTTAACCTGTGAGTACAACTTATTAAAGGCAGGAACTGACATCAAGACATTATCCAACAAGAGAAGCAGACAAAAAGAAAATCTGTAACTCTGAAGACTTTTAACCATATCCACATTAGGACATAGCATGCAGAAGAACAGTCAGAAGTTGCACATTGCAAATGCATGAATATCATTTGAAAGAAAGACCATTATCACTACAATGGAACTGAATTATCCTTCTTTTTTTTATCTGATGTATCTTAGAAATAGCACAAAACATTGTTAAAATTGCTCGATTATTGCAAAATGGTGACAATTAGATACATCCTCTGAAATCTATATTGCTAAACCACACATGAAAGTAAAGCAGTAAACCACACATGACCATTTGAAAACAAGAAAATTAGATACATCCTCTTAAATCATATTGCTGCTTCAATGTGCACTTCCTCAACACTTTCGAGGAACACATGCAATGGCAATGTGGCATCATTTAGTATATCCGAGAAAACAAATATATTCAGCAAATTAAATGTGGTAAAAACAACACAATATTCTACATGGTCGAGATCAGCAAAGTCAGCCAGGAAACTACTATTCACATACCAAAAGGTTGGATTAGAAAAAGCCGGAACTAAACTTTACAATGTTGCAATTCTAATACAAAATTACAAGTCCAGTTCCATGATATAAACAATGAGCATTTGAAAAATGTCAGCATTGGAAATTTTCTGGATGACTGAAAACATGCCACCAACTTATATGATCTGGAGTTTGAACTTGACATGAGGAAACAAGGAATAAATATTAATATTCTCTAGCTCATATGGTATGTATAACTTGTTCTATCACAAGCTATTGCTGTGTCTGTCTGTCCGACATCCTCTTATTATATGGTTGATTATTTGACTGGTTGGAAAAGTACAGTATGTGCAATATTATGTGCATCTGTGACTTGTACTTATTTTTATGATGGTTACTTGTGCAAATAACATCTACAGGTACAGGTATTTAAATATTCAAAAAATCAGGAAAGTACTTTATTACCTGGGATTGTAGTAGATGTGAAAAATACTTTTCACGGCCACAGCATGTGCAACTTCACTAAGACTACTAGTATTTGAGATCTGGTTATGAAGTGCAGGAAAAGGAGATGCATTTTTTAGCTGAGCAGCTCGGCGCACTCCCAATCGAAGCTCTCCATCTTCACCTCTGGAGATCATTACAAAAGAGAAGCTTTAGTACATTTCGAGTTAGTGGTTCATGAGCACATGAGCTATAGGCCTACCTGAGGAATAGCACTGCATCCCCAGATACTAGCTTCTTCTTGTTGATAAACCCGCTCCATCCAGTGGTTAAAAGGTGCCTCCGTGGTTGGCCTGTAACAATTAGAGGCAGACCTATGAGATATTCATGGACCATAATTTTCTCAAGACTCCTCCAAATTGCAATTAGCTTAACTATTAGAGATTATGTCGCAATAGCTGTAGAAATAGGTAGTCTATGCATAAATTAAAATAATTTATTGAAAACACTCCCAGAGTAAGTGAGCAGAGCCTAATGAGAAAAAATAGCATAGTTTGCTCATTTTTATCTCATCCAGCCAGCCAAGTTACAGTTTGGTTTGCTTGTTTCGTCTAAACTGGACAGCCATCTCGCTTCCAATACCTAGACATGATAGATGTATCTAAAAAGGAGACCTGGATAATCTTACTAAAAGAAAAAACATATATATACTAATGCGTTATTCGGTGAACAAAGTACAGTAGTTCAACCTAAACAGCCTGTGATGTACTATAGGAAGATGTAGGACTGTACAGCCCGTAGGTTACTAGGTTCTCTCACGCATTAAGAAAATTAATCCCATGTTCCCAGGGAGAAGCCTAACAACCAAGCTGTATGACATATATATGGTAGTTAGTGATAGTACGGCTGATATCCCAGTCACCAAGATAGGCTAAACCGGCGAATCACCTCGATAGATATGTCTGAACCTCCATTCCGTGCCGTGCAGATCCTTTGCCACGAGCTCCTGGAATGGCCTCTGCAGGCTGTAGTCCTGCAGGCGCCAAGCTGAACAGAGTCACCACACAAGCAATCAAACAGATCACGGTGAGGTAGCTTGTCCCAATCGATATCGTCCCGTACCAGCGGCGGGAAGCAGTCCTCGGCGGCGCGGCGAGGCACGGAGAAGCCGCCGTGCGTGCTGGTGTCGGAGGCCGTGAGCGTCTTGCAGAACATGTGGGGAATCCGGGCCGGCCGCTTCACGGCGTCCTCGCCCTCGCCGTCGCAGGCCGCGCCGTCCTCTCCCTCCCGCATCCGCCTCTCCACTTCCTGAAAAAACCACCCAGAAATAATGTTCGTTTGAGCTACTAGCACTGACCGAATGTCAAAGATATTCATCCCATTTTTGGATCAGCACGCACGCAAACGCACCTCGTTGTCGGCGACCAACGAGACCTGCGCGTACACCTCGTCCGTCGCGGCGTCCGCCTGCAAACAGCACAACGGGAGGAGCAGACCCTCTCTCTCAATCAATACCTCGAACACATTGCGCTCGCGCGAGAGCAGCAAGCGGCGAGCGCACTCACGTGGAGGCTGACGTCGACGACGCGGCAGAACACGTGCGGCGGCACCGCGGCGCCGGGGCCGGAGCCGGGCGCGGCCCCGAGGTGCTCGAGGTGGCCCTGCGGCAGGTACACGACGGCGCTGCCCTTCCGCGGCAGCGGCGCCACGGGGCCAGCGCAGGCGTGCCACAGCTCCAGGCACACCGCGCCCCCCGCCCTCGCCTCCGCAGGCGCCGTGACGGTGCCGGTGGCGCCGCCCTCCTCCTCGTCTTCCTCCTCCTCCACGGTGTTGAGGTCGATGCCCACCATAGCCGCAACCCCCCACCGGCAGCTCGCCGCGCCGCCGCCGCGCTTGCTTCCAACGCGGTCGAAAGAGGAGAGACGGGGAGGGAAGCGAGGAGGGGAGGCGATCGAGGTCCCTCGCTTGGGTTTAATGGAGCGGAGAGCGGAGTGGGTGAGGAGAGGCGGAGGTGGGGAGGCGACACATGGTGGTGATGGCCATGAATGGCTGGGCTGGGTGGTGGTGGGGGGGGGGGGGGGGTGGGGGTGTCTCTCGTAGGCGGCAGAGGGGAGGCCAGGGCTACGGCCTACAAATATTGTTGGATAAAGAGAGCGGCAGAGGGGAGCAGGGTTCGAGCTGAGCTGACCCCAGCAGCTTTGGATTTTTTTTCTATTGTTTTCTTCTGAATAAAAATATTTAAAATCAACCCTGGCCAAAACAGCGTGTACTGTACGTGACGAAAATATTCATCTTTAAAAAAATAAAACAGTGTAAGTGATTTTCAAAAATTTTATTTGAAAACTGATAAAAATAGTTTGTAGCTTTTGACACTTGTAAGTTGTTCCAACCATCCATATCGACGCTCTAGCTCCCCTCGACTGAAACCGTGTCTCCCAATGACACGTGTTGTCCCTCCCTGCATGGTTGCGGGTTGTCATTACCGTAAAAACTACTCCCTACATTGGTTGTACTCGATACCTTAGGTGGTGTTTGGATCTAGGGACTTAACTTTAGTCCCTGTATTTAGACACTAATTTATAGTATTAAATATAGACTACTTATAAAACTAATTATATAAATGAAAGCTAATTCACGAGACATTTTTTTTAAGCCTAGTTAATCCATAATTAGAGAATGGTTACTGTAGCATCACATAGGCTAATCATGGATTAATTAGGCTCAATAGATTCGTCTCGCGAATTAGTCCAAGATTATGGATAGGTTTTATTAATAGTCCACGTTTAATATTTATAATTAATTTTCAAACATCCGATATGATAGGGACTTAAAAGTTTTAGTCCCATCTAAACAGGGTCTTAGAGGGTTGAAACACCATGCTACATGTAGCAACGAATGATAGTGAGGTTGTGACTATAAAATTAGGCTGTTCAGTGAGCTTAACGGGATGGCCGGTGATGGTGAGGGAACAATGAGATCCTCTTGTGCTACATCGCCAATCTACCTCCTCCTCAACTGCCACAGAAGGCGCCCCCTTCCTGCTTCCTTTGTTGGGCTGCAAGTGATGCTCTCGTCTCATGTCTAAGGCTGCGTTCGCCACCGTGAGACTGTGAGATAGTTTGTTCCGTTTTTCACGCGCACGCTTCCCGAACTATTAAACGGTACGTTTTTTATAAAAATTTTCTATAGGAAAGTTGTTTTAAAAAATCATATTAATCTATTTTTGAAATTTAAAATAGTTAATACTCAACTAATCATACGTTAATTACTCACCTCATTTTGCGTATCTTCCCAATCTTCTCTATCTCCCCTTTTTTAAACTCAGCCTAAATTGGTAAAATAAGGTCCACCCGGTACTAAGCCACCTTCAATTTGTGTCGAAGAAGCTTGCTATAGCTTGAGGGGAGAGGTGTTGGTGGCTAAAGAAGGAAGAGGTAGTGATGGTGGCGGTAGAGAGGGAGGAGTTGGAGTGAATAGGAGAAGAGAGACCAGCGGAGTAAATGAGTAATAGGAGGGAGCATGGATTTTATATTAGTTTTGTAATTTTTTATTTATATGTAAATTAAAAAAAATACGTGAACTAAAATAGGAAGTATCAAACAATGCTATGAAAAAATAAAGCTAGCACTATAAGCAGTATTATTTCCATCCTAAAATAACTTTACTTTTCCTCTATTGCAGCCAATATAAGTCAAAAAAGAAAAATACTAGAATGATCTCCATTTTAACAAATCTCAATACAATTATCCCTACTTTAACAAATCGTAATGTATTTTTCTCACTTTCATAAACTCTAATATAATATATATTAGATCGTTTTAAAGATAAAATTATTTTAGAACAAATAAAACGATGAAAGGTGAAGTTATTTTGGGCAGAGGGGTATGAATGCCCTTAAATTATCACATTATTACTTGCTCATAGTACTGGCGTTTGCAGTAAAAGAAGTGAAGTGGGCGAGATGGCAAGAGAGGAAGAGACAGGCAGCGCGAGAGGCGGGAGCCGAGCGCAGTGAAGGGCGCGCAGGGGCAGCTGCTGCGGCAGCGGCAGAGGTGGGCTTGGATGAGGCTGCCGCAGCGATGCTGTCCCAGCGGTGAAGCGCTGATAATGTCTTTATCAGTGAGAAGTAAAAACGCAATGCTGCTGCATGCATGCTTTGCTTTCCATCACTGATTCACTGCCTTACTGCCTTTGCTGCAGTCTTGGCAAAACATGCGGGGCCACATTTCTCACTCCCTACAGGTTTGTTTTCTAAAAGTTGGCTGGTTTCTGAATGTTGATTTGCTGCATATATACTCCTAAAGTAGGAGTGCTGCTATAGTAGTACCTTTCTGTGCTTCTGGTTTGGTTTTAACGTGAACAAAGTAAGATTCCTGGTTCCTGCTTGAAGGCATGATCGATGTTTATCTCTAAACAGTTGTAGTAACTTGCTTGTTTAATCCCAGCATGAAGTGGAACTTATTTTCCTTAAGAAATGGAACCTATCTCTCAGCCAAACAGCTGCCCTCCCTGCGATAGATTCTAGCTCCATTTTCAGATTGTAGTACTAGGGGGGCTCCTCTCTCCCAAACACCCCCTAGGTAAACACTGATGAAGAATTTAGCATTTCACTAGGAGTACTTTTTATGGTACTTCACCCTTCTTATTCATCGCCTCCAACTATGATAGGCTCTATATATCTCTTAGAGCCTCTTTAAATCACGGGAATAGAAAAATAGAGAAATATAAAAAATACGGGATTCCAATAGGAATGTAAGTGCAAAATACAGGAAAAACACATGGATGACCATTTGATTGGACTGCAGGAAAAACATAAGAATCGGATAAGAGAGAGAGACTCAAAGGGAAATTTCCAAGAAGTTGAAGATCTTGTTAAATTTCCTTCAAAATCTCTACAGAGTTATGCATTCCTTCAAATCAAATGGGCCCTTCAAAGGATAACATAGGCTTCAATCCTTTGTATCAAAAGCTTTCATACGAAATTCTCCTATAAGATAAAAATCCCAAAATTTAAATGTTTTTCCTCCAAATCAAAGGGACTCTTCTTCATATATGGCTCAAGCGATTTTGGTGTAGCCACTGCTACAACTTTCTTTTTTCATGGTTTCACACAATGATGGAGTTCGAGAACCCTTTGAATCGCAGGAATGAGAAAACGTCAGGGTTTTAAATATCCCGCTATAGCTGCGCTATCTCCCGTTGTAGCTGTTTGAGAAGGATTCTAGCTATTTGCTCTCATGTACAATTTAGCCGCTATAGCTCCATTTAGCTAGCTATAGCTGCCGCTATAGCTGTTTAAAAAGCAAACTGCTAAATGCCTTAGCCCGCTATTTAAAACATTGGAAAATGTAGGAATAGGAAAAACGTAGGATTTTGATATGAATGTAAGTGTAAAACAGAGAATTGTAAAACACAAGAATGGTTGTTTGATTGGAACGCATGAAAAATACAGGAATTAGAGGAGAGATAAAGACTCAAAGGAAAGTTTCCACGAGGTTCTACCTCATGTTAGAATTTCTCCAAAACTTGCAAGGCATTAGGCATTCCATAGGAATTTCATAGGATTCCATAAGATCCATTCTTTTGATTCAAATGGCTATATAGAAAAAATAATTTACTTTGAATCAAAGGGGGCCTTAGAGCCCGACCATATCTAACTATAGAATATGTTAACTATAAAATTCCTATTTTCCATCATTGTGATAACACCAAAGTTATATTATGTGTTCACAGATGAGACCGAGCCACTGCTCAGAATTTATCGAGCGGTGGCATCGCCACTAGTTTTATATCATAACAACAACTACGTATTGCCGAACTAAAAGAACATTTAGTTTGATATCAGTCAAGGCATAGATCATAAGCTAATGGTCGGATCCGGATCAACCAACTCATGTTCATTGGTGACAATTCAAAGATAGCGTGAGTCAGGTAAGGAGCGTGTGCAAGTTGGGAAGAGTAGGGATAGCAACTTGACCACCGGCAGATTGTTGATGGCTGAACTTGATTGTTGATTCTAGCTTACACGCCAATGGGCAACCATGGCATGAAAGGAACCGAATTTGCAATAGAAAAACATTATACAATTAAAAAAATACTTAATATCAAATAATAATACAAAAGTGAATACTATCAAATCCAATGCAAGTCGATAGGCTAATCAATCCACATATCTTCTCACTATACTAACAAGTGCATCTTTTAATTCACCACTGCACTAACAAAAGCATCTTCTAAGTTATGCAATCAAACAATATAGAGTATATCATGAGTTATTTAAGACTTCATATAATGAAACTCGTGCAAAAGGGTACTTGATAATAATAATAATAATAATAATAATAATAATAATAATAATAATAATAATAATAATAATAATAATATCCGAGAATCTGATGCATACCAACAGGCTAAAACCACACATCTTCCCACTACACATGCAAGCACATCGTTTAATTTACCATTGCACTAACAAGCGCATCTCCCGAGTTGTGCAATCAAACAATATAGAGTGTATAAGATGTCAGATAATAATGAGGTGAATACTATCCGAGAATATAATACATGTTGACATGTTAAAACCACATGTTTTTTTTCCACTACACTAGTAAGCACATCTTTTAGTTTAGCACTATATATACTAATTAACAAGCGTATCTTCCGAGTCATGCAATTGAACAATGTATAGTGTATCACATGTTATTTAAGACTTCATATAATAGAACTTGAAGTTGTTCTATGATATTCTCCTTGGTCACAAGGACATGCCATTGTGAACATGTGACATGCCATTGTGAACATGTAGTTATATACATCTTTAACTACCCTTTACATAACCTGCACACTTTTAGCAGGGATACTGATTGCTAAAGCAAATTAAAGCCCACAACTTTTGCTTACTGGTCCTCTGAGCGGCTGAACCCTAATTAAACAGCACTGATCATGCATGGTGGATTTTAGGGGCCATGCTGTCCAAAGAAAGAACGGCTGGTGGTGCCTTCATCAACCGGCCCCCGCGCCGTCCACATTGGCATTACTATCAACTTCCTGTAGCCATCTGAGCATGTT